GAGAGAGAGAGAGAGAGAGAGACAGAGACAGAGAGACAGAGAGACAGAGAGAGAGATTGCATTATTACACCTACTCAGTGTTTCTATGTATGAATTATCATTACGTTAAAGATTCCTATGCAATACTTAAAAACGTAATAGGCTTTAGGATCCGGGTTAGGGCACAGATACATTTGATATGAAAATGGACTATCCAGAACCGTCTCTGATCGCGGTTCTAGATACATACAGCAGCTCCTGTCAGTCGAAAATAGGTCAGCTCATAAGGCATGCAGTTTGATAGGCGAGGAAATTAACGCTAAACGATAGACTGGAGCGCTGCGGCTGCCGCAGACTCCACTTCATTAAACCTGCAATGGTCTGGAGACAGTGACTGATCATCGGGAGGCCAGAGATGCTCTCTTAAAGGAGACATGGGCGAGACTTTGGGACATTCGGAACTTTTTGTTTTGAAGGCCGCGAAGCATAGCTTGTTGTAAAAAAGATACTTTAGTTTCTCTTGTTCTTGATCGAGTTCTTTGATACCCCTGTATTGGATATTATAGCTAGAATCCACAGCCTCTAATGTCGCAAGTGATCAAGTGTGCTACACTCCTAGAGGCATCGGTGATTATTACATTTTGGGATTCGAAGATCTAAAACGAATTGGAAGATCATGGTGCATACTATGTTGATTGTTTAAATTTTTCTGGTCCTTTTAATTACAAGTCATCACAATCCCCTCTATTGGAGAGTTAGAATTCTATATCAACAATTTAATGTTTTGAGTTGGTTTTGCACTTTTTGAAGACCAAAACACATGATTTTTTTACGGGCTGGGAAAATCCCATCTTTTGAATCACTAGAATTCTTTTCAACAGTGTCCGAATTAACAAGTGCAAATGTATACATATATCAGAACCTTTGACTGACATATTAATGATATATGTTTTGTATGGTGACTCAAAGGATGTTCAATAGACAAGATACATCATCCATACACTGAACCAGCGGCTCTTTGAAGGCGATCCTAAGTGATGTCTTTCCTACCAGAATTCCTGTCCACGCCCCTGTTGTTGAACCTGAAGTCTATCCAGGGCACGTAAAGACCGTTTTTGATTTACCCTCCTGCTGTTAACAGCACGCAGTCGACCGTCGACGGGCGGTCATTTACAATGGGAGAAGACAGACAACTTCCTTCTTCTAGACTGAACTTTGCGGAGGATGGAGAGTCAGTCTGTCTGCGGAGGTAAAATGGTGCAATAGCCTTGGGGTATAACTGTTTGCTTCGCATTCTGCCGGGGGAATAGGAGGTCGTGTAAGGGAAAACGGTTACCGGTAGGATCCTGGGCTGATTTTGGGGTCAGACCCAGCAAACAAGATGGCCTGATGTTTGGACCTTCTACGCTGTTTTTAGCGCCAAAAGGTATGATATACTGATCCAAATTTGTGCTAATGTGGGGCAGTATGTGTCAATATCATACAGATCGCTCTATTTAGAATGTTTCGAGTTTTGCCGCCCTGGAACTACATCGGATGCCAGGTGCTGGGGGGGGGGGGGTCAAACTAAAGCTATCTATCGTCCAAAATTCTTGACCGTAGCGATCGTGAGATGCTGCAGTTCCATAACAAGCTACCAGGGGCCCCGAAATCTAAGCATTTCGAAGTCTCACACACACATCGCCCAGGCATATAAAGAAAGCAAAGCACGTACGATTTTCAGGTGACAGAAAGGGCACACAGGCAAAAGCAATCGTAATCAACTTCAGTACATCCTAATAAAAGCGTGCACATGGAAAATGCAAAGGTTAACATTCAATATAAAACTTAAAGTTTTCTACGATAACTTTTTGTGTTCAACATCAAATGTTTTAATACAGGTCGAGTCTTACAACAAATAGAGCGCTACGTCATTTCTATTAAACACGGAACTACTGGTTTCTGTCTGTCAATAGAAAAGGAACTATTGCTCAAAATAGCCATACAGATGCTGTAGTATATACAATTTTAAGCGGAGCAAACCTTCATTATTTTAGATTCTAGCATCAATGAATTCCACCAATGAAAGGAACACATAATTCCGACCCCCTGGCGACAGACATGAATGTAGCAGGAAATTGAAAACAGGAAATGAGATAACCTTTTCTGGTACCTTTGACCTAACTCACTGTCAGTGTCCACGATGTGCCTATTCTACAGAGAACCCATTGAGAATACAGAATAGCTAATGCAATTTTATGTCACGCGGCGTATACCCTGATAAGGTTTGATATTATATATTGACGCTGTCAGAAATAATCTCTGTCTGGCGACCCTGTAAGGTTCAGACACATCAGGAGATACTGCTTGGCGCTTCTCTGAAAGAACCATATCTCATTTATTGTATTAATAAAAGGGCAAGGACATTACAGTAGTGTACTCTACATAGATTTCCAATGATTTTAGTATTGTGTGTTCGAAAAAAAAGTAGTTAAGGCGTTAATCTTTTTCAGCACAGATTACCTGTTTTTCTGAATATTTTCAAAAATTTATTAAAAAATTAAAGCTCATTACAAGATCTTTGTTTTACCTTTTTCTTGCTGTAGTTGTTGCTGTAAGAACCATTTATTCGACAGTCTAAAACTTCTTCTGAACTTTTGACAAGTAAAGTCCTCCGCAGACGCTGACGTCTAACAAACAGCTCTAAGCCGGCACGTAATTAAGGTAGGAAATATTTCAGTGTGGTAATGACGCGTTCTAAATGGAGATTAGTGTTCCGACGTCTGAAGCTGAAACTTCTACTCCAGAGGCTGATGGTCTGATACTTACCGGGCGCCAATTGTGCTTATCATATAAATTGGTATCATAAGTACGGCAAATTTGGCGAAAACTACTTATCAGATAATTACACGGAATATTATCGTTGTGCACCTTGAAATAAAGAGATATGCGCAGCAAAACGTGTCATGACACGAGATTTGTGTGCTGCAAGAAAAATTACTGCAAGGAAATTGTTACTCAAGCAACTGGATGAATACTGAAATTTCCAAGACCAAATTGTCACTGATAGAAAATGCTTGCTTGTTTCATATCTTTAACTGGTTTTAGATACTTAGTATTGGTTCGAAATTCAAGAATTAAACCAAATCAAAAGAACTCCTTTCGTAGCTTATGTGTAAATAATTTCAAATGCTTCAGGTATAAAATGATGACAAAAAATGTGTTAAGAAATAGCAAGTAAGTAAAGGCAAGCAAAATGTCAATGTAGTACAGTTTTT